ATCTTTGTAATTTTTTTCTTTGGCTCTTTGGAAAGTGGAAACAACCATTTTTTATTTTTTTTTATTTATGTAGTACAATTATACAAAAATTATGCAAATTATGCATAAATTATGCATTAAAAATCCAAATTATGCGAAAATTATGCAAACGCATAAACCTGGGGTCTCTAGTGAGTATATATGTATGCAAATGTACGCAAATAGACAGGGTATGCATGAAAATATGACACAGAAGTAGCACAAGGTACACTGGGTGTCACGCAAACAGGAGAGACTGTTCTGGGAACACAAAATTAACACAAAATTTTAACCCATGCCATTTGTTGATTGACCAATTAAAATCGCGAATTTGATAAATGTAGAAATAAATATGGCTTGATTCATTTTGTCAACAATCGCTTCACCAACAATTGTTTTGTTAACAAATTTAAGAAGTTGGAAGCAACCATTGAAATAGTCTAATAAATTAAATTGTACTACTGAAAAATGTATTTAAAGGGTTGGTTTTTGACTTGGTCAAAGAATGAATCTCTTCCTAACTCTTCTCTTGACCATATAATCAAAATAACCTTAGTATAATGAATGTCAATGAAATGATTGTAAACACAACAAATTTAAGATACATGATTGTGATGAAAAATGAACAATGTATGAAAAATCAAACAAATTTATTTAATAAAAACAAAATTTACAACCCATAAAATTTTTTTGTTCTAATAAAATTTCCATTGTTGCTGTCATCTGTTGCTGATTCAACATTGCCCAGATTATCATCAACTGTATTTTTGTTATTTTTGATAAATTCATTTTCATTTAATATTTTTCATCATACTTTCTTTTAGTGTGTTGACACTTTTTTTGATTTCGACTTGAAGATATCAAACATTTAGATTGACATCTTTGTAGATGATGGTTGTGATAACCATGTCCACATGTGAGTATATACACTACAATTATTCAAATTAGTATAGTTAGTGTAATCGCATTATATGTAATTGCAAAAAATATTTGTAGATGGTTCCTAGAAGTAACAAAGTTTTAGTAATTAAGGGATACTGATTGTCTCTGGACGTGAATCTATGATAATTGTCAACATTCAACAAGAATGTATTTTTTAAACATTTTGTAAGTGCATTTCTCATGTTCATCTGCAACTTGTTTCTTTTTACGGGCTACAGCTCTTGATGTTGTAGTTACTCCAAGACTTGTATCTACTGAGTCTAGATAGAATGCAAGGTCGAACTTAAAAGAGTTAATTTTTTGTATTATTTAAAACAAGAAGAAGATAACACATGAACACCACCATTAATCTCTTCATATGGTCTATTACATTTAAATGTCCAAGCTGCTAAATAGAGTTGGTCAAAAAACCCCTTCAAGCTTGGTTCTATTTCTTGGAGCAATCTTCATATTTCATCAAAATCATATATAGGACCTTGATGGCTCTAGTGAAATCAATCTTTTCACTTACCTCTTCCTCTTCCTCTTCCCCTTCTGCATCTGTGGTTTTTACTCTCCTAGGTTCTCTTTTTAAAAGATTTTCTACAAAATTCATATAACAAATGAAAACAACACACTACCTTCACTAAGTTGTTGTTCTCAGCTTTTTTCCATTTATTGCCTTTCATTGATGAAATTTAGCTGATTCAGTGGTTTTACATTCTGTGCAATGTTCAATTTCAGGCAATTTTTCTTCAAGTAAATTGTATTATGAAAGTTGTGGGATTCAAAGGGATTCAAAAAATATGGTAACAACAAAGTGTAAAGCTTCAAGTTTGTGTAATTATTTACACATGATTCATTGCAAGAATGGGCTACGTGATACCCTTGTAAAAGTATTTTAAACTGTATAAAAAAAATTGAAATTAATTGTGAAAATCCATTCCTTATATAGGACGGTCTCTCCTGTTAATCACTCTGGCAACTTTTTATCTCGTATTTTTTCAATGCAATTAATTATATATCTTGGTTAAAATAAAAAATAAAATAAACAATATTGCTATTTAATACTTTCCTCATGCGTGAATTCCTTTCTCCTTACAATGATTATTCAATACATTTGATATCATCTCTGACATAACAAACAATTGCATCACCCCAGTAGTAATAACACCAAGGCCATGATAAATGAAACTTTTAATAATGCATGTCCACCAGATCTCCGGGGTTCACAAGAATAAATAAATAGGGAAGATCAAAAAAATATATTTCCCTTCCCGTGTATAGTTCCTTATGAATAATAAATCTGATATTGATCACAGGTATCAGATTTAATAAAAAATTTCCTCACACCAACAAATGGCCAGGTGCTTTCACACTCTTCATAACTGTAGAATTTATTTATTCCACAGGTGAAGGTACCCATAGTTGGAGGCTTTTATAAGGTCGACAAAAAATTTCCCTTATCTTTCCCTCATACCAGACTTGGCTGTTACCATATGAGCATTGATCACTGTTGAGAGTCAGCACTTGTGTGATGATTGCTTTGTGTTATTACCACACTAGCATAAAGTTGGCATCTGCAACAAACATAAGCTATTGTTTTGTTGGGGTGATACACCTACTAACTATATTTCCTAGATGAAATAAAATAACCTACAATATATTGTATTCAATTACCATTTAAAAAACAATAAATTTGGTTAATCAAATAAAAAATTTATCAAGAAACAGAAAATTCAGGAAAATGATTAATTTTTACATAACATACCAAACAAAGTCTGAGCCATTTTATAACTTTTTTCTTGTTGACCATATTGCTGACAAAGATATATATAATCATGTGATAATTTTAATCTATAGGACAGGGGACTGAATTGGGTTTTGCCCAATCAGTCCCTACCCAAAATTATAAATTGGTTAGTATCAAAGAAACAGAGAATTTAAGAAAATAATTAATTTATATAGCAGAACAGATATTATTTTACACCTTTCCTCTTAACATCAGAGCCCAAACACAATTTCAGGGTCATCATAACCTCATGTGCTTGTAACAAGCTGCAGATTCTTGTTGCTTTGATGGATCTGGATGTTTACATGACACTACCATAGAGGTAGGATCATTGCAGTCAACTTGGCAACTAACATGGCAGCAGCTTTCTCTGGTCTTGGAGCTGTGAGAAAAGATTAGGTAAGATGTCCTTGACAGTTGATGCAATCTCAATAAATTCCAGGACATGCCCACCCCTCCTAGAATTTGGTTGCATCGTTGTATCATTGGGGGAGACTAGTCAGATTAGCCTTGTGTACACAAGGAAGATGAGAATGGCTGTAAGTATTTCAAGGTATTCAACGTCTGCTAATTTCTGAAACATCCTGTATCAAAATGTTTCATATTAGAATGTTTCTTTTTCAATGGTGTGCTGGCTTGACATCTTGTAATTATTTATTGTAATAATAATAATAATGATTATGGAAAGCAAAATACCAATCATTTGTTTACCATTGATGAGAATCTTATAATTATCCAGCAAGGTCTGCTTCATGTTTTGATTTCAATAATATACATTTATATAAAATAAAAGACACCACATTATATCAATGCAAATTAAAAAAAAGTTACCTCTGGTTAGTTATTAACACATTTCTTTTTAGAACCAAATTATGCTAAACATCAACACTTATGTTTTGCATTTAAAAAATAAATTGTTTTTCCAAAAAAAAAATCAAAATAATAATAGGGGTTCCATACATAACATAAATAGTGTGCATGTTTTGTTGATCAAATAACCATTTTCTTTTCTTAAAAAAAAAAAAGACTAGAACAGAAAAACAAAAAGGAAGAAGAAAACAATAGCAACAAGAAAAAGAGATTGTGGGGTAAGTGTTTATCAAAAGAATGGTGGTTATCACCACTCATTGTCACTCTAGTTAATAATCCTTTTAAAATCTTTTTTTTTAATATTAAAGAGTAAGAACAAAAAGCTTGATTTACAAAACCAATAGGTTTATTATAAAACTAATGTTCTGAATTTTTTGATGACTAAATTAACTTAGTTTTGTTTTATTAGAGAAAATATCCCAACAACTTCATCACTAACATCAACTTCTACTGAAATTCCGCTTTTCTTTTCAATTGTAAGTATAGTTATATCTAAGACCTCCCAACATATTATTAGTTTATATTTTAATAACAATGATTTTTGTTATAAAGAATGATCCATTAGACAACTTATTATATCCAATATATTCTGAAGCTATAAACAAGTAAATAGAATTTCAATATAAAAGAAATTTTTTGAGTAAATTTATTTAGTATTGCAGTGATAATCACCAGTGTGGTGAAATAGCAATCCCAAATTTTTTTATCTTTAAATACGCATTGAATAAAGCAAAAATAAGAGTTAAAAAATATTAAGCCTTCTCTCTTTTAAAAACTTTGTCCCTCATAAAGCCCCAGAACATCTATGATCTTACAAATAATTAAGCCGTCTCTCTTTCCTGATGTCTTTCTTTTTAATGCTAATACAGCTGCCACAGTTCTTTCATGATTTTAATAAGCAAAGAACTAATAAATATTTCTTCACAACTTTAATCCCATCAATGTCTCCAAATGCTCTATATACAAAATGCCAGACATGTAACAGATACCACAACTCCAGATGATTTTGTTTTAAACTACATGTTTCGTATTCACATATTCTATAAAATAGTACTTTCATTAAATCCAAAAGGCAGCACCTACAGGGTATACACTGTGTCTAATCTATCCATGATCAAAGTGTATTTGTCAGTTGAAGTGAGAATCCCATTCCCTAAATTATAGCACAGATTTCATGAAACTTGATCTATTAGACTATTTATTTATAATCATTTATAAAGAGCAAGATCATTTATAAAGACTAGTGCCGTAATCCAAAAAAGGAAAAAGTATGGTTGCAAAAGTGGTCGCAAAGGTAATTGCAACCACTTT